AAGAAAAGACTGCAATGGTTAGAGAGAATACCGGACAGTGACAATTATTGCTTGAAAACAATCAATTCAAAATAGAAAGACATACCAAGAATCCGATGAAATATCTACCGAATCTTGCGCTGTAAAAAAAAATGAAAATGTCGTGTTTGTTTCTCACTTATAAATGCTGACATTTAAATTCGTAATCAGTTATAAAGTTCTTAAGAGAAAAGGAAATAAATAAATTATCATGTTCGCTGATTCCTTAATCGCCATTTAGAATTGAAACAACTGCGAATTCGCATCGGAAGAGAAAAGAAAGAAAAAAAGACAATTAGCTTCAGGATTTAATTCTCGATTGGATAGGTTTTTCTGCCTATCCGGACGGTTCTAATAAATATCCGCACAGTTTAATACTGGTTAAGTTGTCATATTTCTCGCCAATTTTTTTTTAATGAAATTTTTAAACTTAACTTGACGGTTTTAATGTTGGCATCGATTTTGTACTTAATGTCTTTTTAATAGGTAAGAAATTGCCTTCTATAAGCAAACGAGCGATGTAATCGAAAATGTCAACTATTTTTATGACATACCTATTAATGGGTCTTTTAATTCATTCCACTGCAGTAAGGCCTTACCTCGTGTAGTTAAGACATACTGCAGACACACGAATTAATCTAACCACCAATATTATTATAATATAATAATATTATCCAAATATTAGAGAAACACTTGCTTAACCATTGGAAATGTTCCCTACCGGTATTAGCTGATTACGATGCATGGCATAACAGGGAAGCAACGCTAACAAGCCAAACCAAATTCACAGTGAGCTATAATAGGGGTTACATCTAGAGCTTTTCATTACAATTAAACAGAAACAGATGTTGCAGATTATTATGCTGTAATATATAGAGACAGTAGCGGGATGTAATTCTCTTAGATGTGGCGAAGCATTAAGTTCGCTGTAATTCGATAACTTTGCAGAACGTCAAGTTTGTTTGTATATGGATACGTGTGTTTGGCAGATTTCATAGGTGTTTCCTTTTTACCTATACGCACCCCTCAGTATGTCTTCACATTATACGCATTGCCAATTGCTAAAGAGAACAATTATAATCACCTAAATAAAGGTTAACGTATAAAGTTATAAGCAATGCAAACTCTCAATATCACAACATGTAACGGCTTAGATACATTTCTAAGGGTCGAAGAACTCACTTGCAGAAAATAAAATTGAATCTATTGGCAAAACATTTCACTGTGACAATTAATTTTTGTTTGACCAACGGCTAGCTCAGTAATAAAAGATGTTCTTATACCCCTTACCTTGCGGAGTTTGACTTCTGAAATTCTGGTTCTGGTTTAATTCAAGTATAACAAATACTCATGTGAACTTAGTTGATTGAATATATTTAAAAAAACAAAGGCGTTAAGTTAATTTTTTTGCCAAGTTATTTGACTTAAAATATCTGTTTGGATCATAACAAGAAATACAAAAAATACAATACTTGTCTCGTGATCAAGTATTAATGCTCAATTTGACCCTTTTCTAAAATTCCTTTTGATCACATAATAAATTGCTGGCGAATTAATAATCGAGATTGTGATTATGCATAGGAATTATAAGCCAATGTTCCGCTGTGTTGATGCTAATTTTGGTCAATTTATTAACTAGGATTTGTTGCGACCAAGCATCAATTAATTGTCTTTAGTCTTACCTGCCGTATGCCGTTACATACAAAGTTCTTTGTTTATCACAATAAGATTTAATGGTAAAGCGGTATATGTGTAAATTTTCCTCTGCTGAACAAAATACAAATTCAAAACCAAAGCGACCACCATTTCGCACAAGTATTACCTGTGGCTCTCTTGCCACAGCCAGTACGCAAAATAATAACGTGAATTGTGTTTTAATAATAAAAATAGAATAAACCCATAAAGAGCGTTTAAAAAAGCGGCATATCACCTAGGTGTGACCCCACGGAGTCATTGGATTTGACCCATTTTCAATTGGCTTGTTACATGTGGTATATATGTTAACTGTGCAAAGTTTGAACCGAATAGGTTCAAGCGTTTGCCAGAGGCATAGAGGCGTGATCCTACGTGGTTATTGGATTTGACCCATTTTCAATAGACTTGTTACATGTGGCATATAAGTCTATTGTGCAAAGTTTCAACCGAATAGTTTCAAGCGTTTGGCAGGGACAGAGAAGCGTGACCTCACGGGGTCATTGGATTTGAACCATTTTCAATAGGCTTATTACTTGTAGCATATAGGTCAACTGTGCAAAGTTTGAACCAAATCGGTCCAAACGTTTGACAATTATCGTGTTCACGGACAGACGGACACCATCGACTCCCCTATAAAGCTTGCATCGCTTTGCTCTGCCGCTTAATAAAGTATAACTGAATAGGAAATAGAAGATTGTTCTACAAGTGATGTAAAGCGTTAATTTTCAGTGAGTGTAAATGTTTGTTACGCATTGAACATACATTATTTTATTGTACACTTGTGGGAATAGCAACGACGGAACTAGATTTCTAAAAACAATATACACAAATCCCGGTGAAGACTGAAGATACCATAGAATGGGGAACTACCAAATTCCTATGGCTACATCAAGTAAATAAAAAAAATTAAAAGAAAAAGGCGATGTCATGAGCAAATTCCACCGATTTACTCCCCAGTAGATCGAAGGAAAAATGTCTAAAATGTTACGAATAATTCAGTGGAGACCCAAAAAAAATGCGATAGGAATTATTAAGAAATGTCTTAGTTTTTCTGGAAAAGGTATCAATCTTTAAAATATCTTTTTTATGCTAATTTTTAGAGTAAGCACTTTACAAGTAAGCGAAAGTGTCGACATATAGCCAACTCATCTCAATTTTTAATGGAACAGAATGTAGGTGATGAACAAAATGTTAAAAGTTTTGACGTCACTTTAAACTACTCAATACTTTCTTATTTATAAACTCATTCAGAATGTTTACCCATGTAACATTACAGGTTTGGAATTCTAATATTCGCCCCATTCCAAACTTGACGAATTATAGGCCATACAATAAATACCGTTTAATGCATTTTCCTAGAACACAATACGAGATGTGTTATTGCGACCACGTGCTGTTGTAGAGTAGGCAGCACATGTCAGATAAATAAGGAGGAGAAAGCCAATAATGGCTAAATAAATATAAAATTCAACTTTACCACATAATGAATTACTGTTTAAAATATACACCTCTGAATGCTAAACAAAACTTAAATGAAATGCAATTTTCCAACCAATGAAACAAAATAACCGAAATCCTTTGTTTGGATTCAATTCTTATCGATAAACACAACACAAATCTGCAAATAATTTTTACGGGTCAATTCCTTTAGGAATATTAAAATTACTTAGAACAAAAGTCATTAATATGCGAGCGACTTTTTTTATGTGAAAAGCGGTTCTCCGATTCGTAAATGTTCCTTCGCATTTATTTCCCACTTATAAAAGACCTTGCTACGAATCAGACTGATAAAAAGTTTTTCTGCAACCCGTAATTTACTGTACCTAATTGGTTTATTCGCCCACATATAAAGTTGCAGGTAACTCGCAATTTATCACAAATCCGAATTTGTTTACACGTTTCTCCATGACGTACCCGAAATTTAGGAGTTCCCGCTACCTAATATGTTTTTACGAATACGTTTCGAATAGATTTCAATCAGTAAATGCACGTTCTTGTTCTTGAGATCTTACCACGAATCTTCATACATCGCGAGGATATTTCTCAGCAGACAGAACATTGCAAAAAAATTTCGACGGCGAATAAATCTTTTTACAGCAATGTTTGCGCGTGGGTAAGTGAAATCGGAAGCCTTTTGTATTTACGCGAATCAAACGCGGTATATGTGTAAATTTGCCTATGTTTAACAGAATACATTCAAAACTAAATTTTTGAAGCGGAAAAGCGGCCAACCGATGATTAACTTTTAGGGTCACGAGCCTTTTACAGCTTTTTTTAAGATATTTACAGGTCTTTAAAAGGATATTCAAGGGTTGTTCACATTCTCCAAAAGCTCCAAACAATTATAAAAAGTGTTGCAAGTGCTTTGGAGTAAATGTTTTCCGAACCTTGAAGAGCTCTTTTTTAAAGGCTAATGCGTCTTTAAGAATTTTCAAGGGCCTTCAACGGAATTTAAGGTCTTTAACTTATGTCTTATGAGCTTTTACGGGTTTTCAAGCGCCCTGAATGTGAGCCGTCATAACCCGGTTTGTTTGCTGGAATATTATTGTGGCAATAAGAATATTGTAAGCATAAAAAAATCTACCAGGTCATTAAAGAAATTAGCAATATGTCGGACATGGAGCATAATATGAACAATTCAATATAATAGAAAGGACCAAAACAACCATTTCTTTTCGATAAAACACGGGCCCCAAAAATCTAGCTAATATTGTTAATTGTATTCTTTTACGTGTTATGGTTACTGATAGAAATTAAAGCAAAAATCTATATTTTGGCTCTTGCCTGGTTAATATTCTTACACGTTGATTATAGAAAAATCGTTTTGATTAAAAAAAATGTTCTGAAGGAAGATTTCCCTAAACAAAACCTGGCTACTACAAAATCCCTCTTGAAATATGAAAAAATGTACCTACTTATTTTATAGCAAAAAAAATGGACATTTTAATAGATTCGAATGAGTAGGCTAAGTGTCTTTTTAACCGTAAGGGTTAAATCACATTAACGCCAAGAGTAGATAAAGTGTAACAAATCATTGTGGATTTCAATGACATCTGTCATTCTTATTCAAAATAGGAAGCGGAGCACGATATCGAATAACCTACAGAATTTTTATAATGATTTCTATTTTTCTGCTATAAAATAAAGTATTATTTACGACGATAAAGGGAAACTATCCATCTCGTAAATTAACATCTTTCACGCGATGGTTAAAACATCCCTTTATCGTGTTGTATAATAAATAGCAATTAGTAAGGTTTGCTTCAGTCAAGAAATTTTTGTTCCAGAAATGCCTAACGACGTTAGATCTCACTTCGCTAGGGGTTGGAAGCTGTGTTGGAACTGGCATGTATCTTGTTGCGGGAATGGTGGCTAGAAACTTCGCTGGTCCCGGAGTTGTCTTTAGCTTTATCATAGCCGCAATCGCTAGCATATTTTCAGGTAAGAAACTGCGTAAAACTAATACGTGCAATCGACTGATACTAACCCCGTTTAGGAGCTTGCTATGCCGAATTTGGTGTAAGAGTTCCGCACACAACTGGTTCCGCATATATGTATTCTTATGTAACTGTTGGAGAATTTATTGCTTTTATTATAGGATGGAATATGATACTCGAGTACCTCATTGGTACTAGTGCCTGCGCTTGCGCGTTAAGCGCCTGCCTTAATGCTTTATCAAATGGTGCCATTAGTGAAGCTATAGAAGATAGCGTAGGGACGATATTTGGTAATGGCCTACAATCTTCGCAAACGTTAATGGGGCATTTTTAGGAAGACCCCCAGATTTTTTAGCGTTCGTCATAACATTACTAATGATGGTTTTATTAGCAGCGGGAGTCAAAAAATCTCTTATTTTCAATAACGTACTAAACGCCATAAATTTAGCAGTATGGGTATTCATAATGGGTGCGGGGATGTTCTATGTAGATACTAGCAATTGGTCGGAGCACTCCCGTTTTCTTCCTTACGGCTGGTCCGGGGTATGCGAAAGTGCCTTTCTTTCTAAATGTTACTAATTGACATTAGGTATTCACTGGAGCCGCTACGTGTTTTTACGCCTTTATTGGATTTGATATTATAGCTACCACAGGGGAAGAAGCGAATAATCCTAAAAAATCCATTCCTATGGCGATTATTGTTAGTTTAGTTATAATCCTGACGGCTTACGTCACCAGTTCTATGGTGTTGACACTAATAGGTAATTTGCTACTGTTGAAATCAGAGATTTAAAGTGTGTTGCAGTACCCTATAATAGAATCGACCAAGATTCCGCGCTTGTAAAAATGTTTGGAGAAGTTGGAGCTTATAATTGCAAATACATCGTTGCTGTAGGCGCTCTTGCAGGACTCACAGTCAGTATGTTTGGGTCCATGTTCCCAATGCCGCGAATTGTATACGCCATGGCACAAGATGGTCTCATCTTCAAGTAAGTTCCCTGGCTCAATACCGTAACCCAACTTGCACTTTGTAGAGCACTATCGCAAGTGTGGCCAAGTACGGGAACACCCACCTTAGCCACATTTACAAGTGGATTAGCGGCGTCTCTGGCTGCTTTATTAATACAATTAGAAGTCTTAGTGCAAATGATGTCCATAGGTAAGGTACACTCAGAAAAACACTTTCACCAACCGCAGGCGTACTTCAGGTACCCTTCTCGCGTACACCTTAGTCTCAACGTGCGTCCTGATATTACGTTACCAGCCCCACTCGACAAACTTAGTGGAGCTGTTGCCTCAAAGTTTAAGAACGCCTTTGCGAGGATCGCCCACGAAAGAAACCCTTGCTCAAGTTCCCAATGGCCAAACATTATACAGTAACCAGCTGCATCCAGAATCGTTAAAGCACGCGCTTGATTCAAATTTAGATATACAAATTACTCCGGCGCCGTCTCCGCTTCCCACCCAAACCACACAACGAGTCATGGTTAGGAGAGTTACGCGCAGGTATGAGCCAAAGTGTATCGGGAGACTAACGTGACGTTCGCTTATTGTTCAAGCTCTCCAGACAGCGACGACACATTGCCTGGAGATGAACCAGAAGAAGATTTTTCTATGAGAGATGACCAATTTTTAGTATCCGATAGGACGGAAAATAAGTTTTATGGTGAATTTTAAACTATATAGTAGTTTTTCTGTTGTAAAGATTATTTTAGGTACGTTACATGGTGCTAGCAGCGCAGCTAGTACTGGTGGTGTGGTAGGTGCTACCGTAGGCCCTAGCTTAGGTTATCTAGGACGTAGATTACAAGTGAGTTGGCCAGTTAACCATACGTGGATTTAATACAATGGTTTGTAGGCAGCTACATATCTTTGTCCCGCAATTTTTCCGTGGGTTGACACTGGACCACCAACTGAAGAATCTGGAATGTTTGTCATGAAGATGGTTGGAATTTTATACTTGCTCATAATTATCTTTGATCTCATCATTGTTTGTGGCATGCACAACATGACTGGTGCCACAACATTTTTTCTATTTTTGTTCTTGTTCGCTATAATAGGGGTTTTACTCGCCATATCAAGAAAGCCACAAAATAGGTAAAAACGCACAGCAAAAAACTGTCTCATAACATTTCACTTGTAGAAATACGTTAATGTTTATGACTCCAGGTCTGCCATTTGTACCTGCCATTGCTGTAACTGTTAATATTTACCTTATTTTTAAATTATCCATATTAACGTTGGTGCGCTTTACAATTTGGATGACGTTAGGTGAGATTTTCTTCATCAAAATTGTAGTGTACGGGATATTCTACTGATCTTGTTTTTAATTTTTTTCAGGTTTCATTATGTATTTCTACTATGGTATCAAGCACAGTTCGTTGGAAAGCGACATAGACCAAAATATCGAGCTCACAGTGACGGACCACGAAAAAATGGATAAATATAGCCCGAAACCAGCATTTACACCATCACCTGTAGCAGTTAACAGTTATAAGTGAGTACTATAAGTAAAATTTTAAAAATAGACAACATTAGAACAACACTTTTTGATTTTTCTCGTGCGAAGCAACACTACGGTTTTAGTGGCAACCTCAAATGTAAATTTTACCTTATTTCCTGTCTTAGAAATCTTCTTGGATAGTATTGAGATCTTAAAAATCTTGATAGAGACTGTCTCACGTCCGTCAAATCACCATGTGTAGAATCCTGATCGATTTCGGAGTGTGAAACTACCTACTTCTAATTATTTATTTATTTGTTTAATCAGACACTATACAAAATAATAAAATTCCTAATTTATATTTAAGCTGAAAGTACTATTTAAGTAAGCTGGGTACCGTAAGAGATCAAATATGGATAATTGTGGGTTGACCTAAAAAACATTACTCGGATGAACTTTTTCTGCACTTTTTCCATCATGTCTGAGTATTTTGAGAGTTTGAGGAGACCAGATACATGCAACATACCTTTAACTTAACTTTAACTTTTAATTGAGAAGTCTAATCGAAAAAGTACGAATTGTTTTGGATTCTACGCACCAAAATTAATAAGAAAAAGTGTTTTCCCGAGAAGTTTTGGTGCAGTCGATTTTTGGTAAAAAAGGAAGGTTATACACTGCCTTTTTTTGAGGCCCCGAAAAAAAAATTGTCTCAGATCGACCCGGAAAAAAATTTTCTCATAGAATGTGGCCTGTAGAATCCATAATTTCAAACAGTTCCAAGATTGGGCTACTAGTTCAAAAGTTACAGCCCTTTGAATTTTCTTTCGAAATTGGTTTCTAGTCCATAACTTTTGATTGAGAAGTCTAATCGAAAAAGTACGAATTGTTTTGGATTCTACGCACTAAAATTAATACATAATAAAATATGATCGTTAAAAGAACATTAATAGCAAAGACCGCCAACATAAAATAGGTGGATAGGTACCATGAGAAAACTGTTTTGACTTTTTATGACGTATCAATCTAAAGCAAGATTTTTTTATTTAGATTTTTACATTGTTTTGAGAAAAGTCTTTACCACAGAAAATAACCCACAAAAATGTCCATTTATCAATCTATTTTGCTGTTGTATTATACGCTAAAATGTATAGAATTTAATGCTATATAATAATAGCAATATTTTGATTTGGGCCTCGTTTTAAAAGAAATTTTGAAGATTATGGCGTTAGGTTCGTGATATATTCAAACTGCTCCCCATGCGGCCTACAAATGACTCTAAGTATACTTTGAGCATGCCAAATAGCACAATATGCAGACTGTTCCCGAATCCTCCTCCGCTTAATCGTGTAATTATAGCTTAAGAATCCTTAAAAACTGATTAATTTTATGGAACAGGTCCAATTTTAATGATTCTTCCTTTGATATGTTTGTAATTCTGTACCACTTATAATTAGAAACATTGTAGTCAGGTAACAACACATCATTGGAAAGGTTTTTCTTTTCTGAATTTGAAAGTGTTTTTTTTAGATTAGCTTTTCTAAGAGAAGTGTCATTTGCACTATGAAAGGTTGGGGCTACTGGCATAAGAGTCGAAGAGATTAGATTATTAAAATTAATATACCCGGATATTTTTCGAAAAGTTGTTCTGTTCCCATTTTACGTGTTTGCCACGATGAATTGTTTAAATAATAGGTAGGTACAGGATTTGTATGCAATTGTCTTGAGCAGACATGTGCACAGATAAAACTTTTGTGGGCAAATGGACCCAAATGTACGAATTTGACGTGAAAATGCCTAGTTTGGAGGATGGCATTTTTATGCACCTTTCATGGTAAAATAGGTAGTATTACAATTGACAAACTCTTGCATAATTTTGTGGTTTGGCTGCATTTCCTCTGAAATCTTTCTATAATTCCTGTATGAGCTAATACGACAGCTTTTCGCGTGTTTTTTATGAATAATTGCATTACAATTTCTACCAGCAGCTGTTTCTATCGGAATTTTCATTTACACTTGAAATTGCTTATCGACTGTCTCCGAGAATTTTTCTAGAACACAAAAAACCGGAGTTGTAAATGAATTTATTTCATTTATTGTGAAAATTGTTTTCTTTTGTTCTCTCTTTTCATGTTCAAGGTTCCTTGATCCCAAATTTCATTTTTATGAATAAGTGTTCTCACGAAAATTTTTAAAAAGATTGTATAAAACAATTATGCGAAGTATTTATTATTTATTAAATATGGCGTAGTATTGCGAGCAGCTACTTCATCACAAACGTAACAAAGTCTGAAAGCCTGGGCCGTTCTCACAATAACTCAAAAACGCTAATGATGCTGAAATTTGGCACACAGATAGGCCATAACCAAAGGAAAAAGTGAATGGATATTGGGTTGCGGGGTGGACCCCCTGGTGCAAGGTCAAAAGTCAAACGTATTTTGATCAGCATTCGATTTTTGGAACGCTCTTTTCGAAAGCATTCACAAAGATTTGTAGGGAGGGTTGCACTGTTCACCTCAATAAATTAATATTGCATTTGAATTAAGACATCATAATTTTCGTAAAAAGTGATTGGTTATCATTTAAACAATATGAATATTAATTACGCACGTTGAAATGTTTTTGATTTCATGTATCGAAAGCATATCAAAGTAAAAATCATTGACATCGGACTGCTCCTGTACAACTCGCTTATATGTGATGAGAACTCTCTGAAATAAAATGAAAGGATACAATTTCCATTTATATTTTTCAGTCAAAATCAGCCGAGCTACGATTGGGACCCGAACGCAGTCTGGTCCCAGTCAAACGCTTGGTCGCAACCAGTACAACAAAGTCAGGCAAGTCAACCAAACAGCCAGCAATACCAAATGGAACAACAGTACAATATCGAAAGCAAGAACACCCGTTCCGTTATCAGTAAGCCTCCCCCAAACACTAAACGAACAACAGGCTCCAGCAATCTCTTCGTTGCCGAAGACTCCTTCCCGACCTGGGACGATTAGTACGATTTTAAAAATGATAGGTTATTTTGTTAATTATTTAAATCGAATTGTATCGATACAGGTTGTTATATTGTGTGATTTTTACATGACTGATATATTTAAACATATTAAAGTTGTTTTATATTTGTAAATTGTAGTGCGTTCTAATAGCATTATTTGCTGTAATGCACGCGAAATGCGTTACATCAAGAAGAATAATTATATTCTAAATAGAAATTTGGTAAACTATTCCGAGGTGATCGTCTCTATCCAACAAGCACAACTAGCTACAGATATTTGACAAAAAGAGTATTGTGTGATAGATATTTATTGTAATTTTCTTTGACCTTTCTAAACAGTGAATGAGATGATTCTTGTACGACAGAATTATACAATTTTTCTATAATAAAATGTTATATCATAGTCCTAATGTATCTATAATTATATTTAATATGCCTATGAAGTTTAAGGTGTACATATTAACAGGTTGTTAAAATTAAAATAAGAAGATATTTGTACTAAATGTTGCTTACGGAAACTATAAGAATATTATTTTAAATGGTGTAACTATCTTTTTGTAAAAGCTTGATTTCCAAGTAACTTCAGTGTAGGTAAATCCTAAACAAACACATACGCAGAGTAGTGCTTCAGATTTTCTGGGTGCTAGTACTATTGCAATAATCTTTTCTTGGTAACAATAAGTCTTCCCTAGGAGTATTGTACAAACCTTCTGCTTGTATGAATTTAGTTCTCTGCCACTTTTGCAATTGATGTTGCTCAAATTACCATATAAAATAATATTTTATAGTTTTGTTTGGTGTTTAAATATTCATCAATGTTCAAACTTGTTATCACGCAATTGTATAAACACTCTGAACTGATTATAAAAGTATTTTCCATACGTCAGTGCCTGGATTCAATATTTGTTGAATTAGTTATTATTTAAGAATACTCTCTAAACGCAACTTTTTCATCGATACCTCTAGTTAAGTTTGAAGGGTATTTGGAACGATGATTGAGGCGTTGGGTATTACGTAGATCAAATTTGAGAATTGTATTTGTGGTGTATGTTTAGCTAGATTCTCATTATTCATTTTACATTATTGTCAGTACAAATATTTGTGTTCCTTACATACAACACTAAATATTAACTCTCCATTAGTGTATACAATCGCATATCTGTAGTATTAACTAGAGATTTCAATTAGGTTCATCATTGCAGTGATATTTGATGTTTAAAATTCTTCCGGTATATTTATTAAGTACCTAAGTAAATAAACGATAGATAGATGAAATGTTTAATTAGCGAATAAACTATTTCAGCATTTCAGCCACAAATAATTCAGTATCTTTTGTCTAATAAATTTTCCGAAATTTCAGATCAATTAACCGACGTAGTTTAGAAATGGGCTAAATGGAGGTGCCGGCAAGCTAAATATTTTAACCGTTTCTACAATAAATTGTTACCGTTTTTTCTTCACTGCGATAACCTCTAAATTTCCACTGTTCTATTGGGGAAAATCAAATTTAAAGTTCTGAGACCTAACGTTACGAGCCTAGGAACTGGTCATGAGAAACAGCCTGGACCTTAATTGATACAGACTTGCAAGTTGGATAATTCTCTGGTAAAGTGATAACGTCCTTTTATTTTGCATGTACTTCCCCTTTTAGAAGCTCAGTTACCCTTATTTTCTAGCTTATTTCTCTCTCATTCTTCTATTTCTCTGGGTTTCCTGGTGCAGTCTCTGTGTGTAATTTTCAGTGACTTTAAAAATGATTCACGCTATAGAAGTTTAGTTATAGTTTTTGAAGAAAAACAACTCCTTTTCGCTAAAACCTATAAAACTATGTATTAAAGCTTAAAAGGTGAATAAAATTTGGTTCAGATGTTAGATGCTTTGGAACATTATTTTCAGAATATTTCAAACCCTTACAAATCAACCTCTATTATGGTTTAATTAAAATAAAGTATTTACCCTCAAAACATTAATAATTCATCATATTGCTTAAAAGATTACTAATTTCATTTGGTAACTTTTCAACCGTTAAAAACAACCCCTTATAAATTTTTATCTCAATCAACAAAAATATAAAGTACTATTATTAAATTATGTAAAATATAAATACACTGTTTTCAACGTAGAAAAACATTTCATTTAAATATATCCCTGCTTCATTACCAAACAGCACGTACGATTTTTCTAGTACCCCTAATCCTCATGCTAATGGCTTCGGATCAGACTGGACTGAATCCGGACATTTACCCACCACAAGACTGAAGAGTATGACCTGTTCCATTTCTCAATCATTGTAGAGGCTAGTATTTTTAAAAAATATGTAAATTTAATGTGCATGGCACCTTCATATTATGGACAAATATAAGAGGAGAGAATGAGCCTCTGATATCCTCAGCAGCTATGTCATATTTGTGGTGTTTCTCATGGGAATGTTGTCTTAAAATTGATTGCCAGGAAATATTTCGTTGACGGTAGGAAGAGTGTCAGCATCATTGATGCGGATCAAAAAACGCTACCCTTCTCGCCTCTCAAAATCTCCTTACCATCATATGTTTCCAATGAGAACTGATTGATTGGTGGGAGCATCTGCCATTTTAAGCCTGTTTATGGCTTCATGACCTGTTTTTACTACAGTAAAAATATGATAAAATTATCAGATGCCATTTTGTATGGGTTTTTAATGTCTAGACCTCTTAGTTTGAAGGCAAAGTAAAAAGTCCATGTTCTATTTCGGAAACTTCTCGTCCAATTATAATTGGCCGAAGTAGGTAGGTAAGTGACTCTCTGTAGATATGCCCATTCGTTCTGGAGAGATTTCAGAAAGGCGGTATTGTAATTATGCAGCTTGTGGGCAATCCTCACCAGCTTTAGCTAATTTCCTCAACCATTCAATCCATTTTTCTACTTTATTCCCCACGTATACTTTCTTATTAGGCTCGCCAGGAGGAATGCCGGTTTAATATGAAAAACATATAGGATTGGAGACCGGGATCAGGTATTCCATGACCAGAATTCTCTCCAGCCAGCGTTTATATTTTCATCACTTCCAATCAAAGAATTTATTCTTTGTCACTATCTCAAGGTCTCTAGGTCACGAATAAACAATGTAAATCTGTAGGTGCGTAATAGGTAATTGCTCCTTCTGGTCTGCGTATGCGCGATCTATTTTTTATGTACATTTAATTTATTGTTTTTAAACAAGCACTTCCCTCAAAATTTCAGAAAAAACAGTGCACATGACCCAAAGATTTAATCGTGGTTTCCAACAGAGTCACTTTTATTTTTCGGTTTTCTCTATCAATGCATTTAACCCCCCCCCCCCCAATAAATTAAAATTGTGGTTTCTTTGATCCAAAATGGTGGCGAAGGTAGAGCAAGTTTGATGTTTAAGTTTTGGTTAATTCAATTCAAAATACAACAAATGTATAAAATTTCTAAGCACAAGAAACGGCAAACGTGTTATTAGAAGCGAAAAAATAGATTTTTAACGCATTTTTGAAAAAAATACACTATTATATTCGTTATGGCTGGCAGGCCGGCTGTCCGCGCGAGATCTCAACAACTACAATAGCTAGAGAATTCAAATTTTCACTAAACGCTTTCTGCTATAGTGTAGATGTGCAGGCACTAGTCTATTTTGAGTTAAATTACTTGTGAGATCGATAATTAAAGAAAATAATTTCGATATGGGTTTCGGAGGTGCTATAATTTGACCGTTAGATAGCGCTACCAGTATAAAAACTTATTATTTACTTTGTGATTTGTTTTACAAAATAAAGACGTACTCTCAATTGAAATTAAATCAAATTAAGTATTTAACGCAGCCGAAATTACTCGTGAGATCGATAATTTTAAACTTCGCTACTAAAATACTGACCTGCATTACCAAAAATGCGCTTTAATCATGCATATGCTGATTTACAACTTGTTTGCTATAACTGACTTTGTAAGAGACACAGAAGAAATTCCTTCCTTAGTGCAAGCGTCGACACCATAACGAACCAAATAGCAAAAAAAGTACCTCATAAGATAAAGATCTGAAAGCGACACACCCGTAGGGACGGAAAGACGGACGGGCGGGCCTACGGACGGGCACATTTTTAATTTTTGTGGCTAATCCCTTGACTCTGCGTACCGTACTCGTACTTCATTTTTCGACATACGTTTTCAAATTTCATTTATGAGAAGCATCTTCTGTTAAAATTTCAAAAAAAAAGATCCTCAAATAAAAAAGTTGAATTTGCGCTCAATCCATTTTTTCTATCTATGGGAATTTCCAAAACTGTAAGAGATACGAACGAAAGGCAAATTAGGAAAAAGTTACGCAATTAAACAATTATTTTCATACTGTAAAGGCAACTAGAAAATTCCGATTACTTCCAAAGATGTGCCAGAAAAACTGAAATTCAAACATTTTGCTGATGTTATTTGAACAGTTGCAGAAAAATAAAAAAAAACACTTTCCCGTTGCCACTCTTTGAACTCTACAATACAACGTTTCGTTTCGGATAAATCATCAGCAACATTATTTTTTTATAAGGCCCGTAAAAAAATACATACTGTATCGGGTGGCGTTTTTTATTACGAATACGATATACAGCGCGCAACAGAAATACAAAACTTGGAAACTTAAGTTTCGACAGGATGGTGCACCAGCGCACTACGCCCTAAAGCGTGCATGAATACTTATCGAACATCCATTTTTCATTTTCCAGGAAAATTTGTTAACGTTACACATGTGCAATCCATTTTTGACGTCTTACTTCAATTTCATTTCATAAGAAGAATCCTACCCTAAAATTTCAGAACGATTGGTTCACAAATAACAAATGTGAGTCGGGGCATGCGCAATAATAGTTTTACGTGTCTGCCTATGTAAAATTTACTTTTTTTGTGCATTTAATTCGTTCATTGGTAAAATCTGTAAAAATTTCAGAAAAATCCGTCCCCAAATAGAAAAGTTGCATGAACAACCTATTCGCTTCATTTCAATTTGATTTTATAAGAAGCATCTTAACGTACAGAATTTATAAACATAATAAACAACAAAAGTGTAAAATGAAAAAATTGATATTTTTATTTTTATAAACGTTAAAAAATCCCTTCTTTGGTGCAAACCGAAGTGCAAACCTTGACACCATAACGAACCAAATATAAGTCTTAAGATAAAGATCCAATAGGGACGAGCAGAAGGATGGACAGACGGACGGACGAACAAGCGGGCGGACACGCGGACACACGGACGTACAAAGTGGCAACAATAGCGCATTTTTTTAATTTTTGTCGAAATGCGCTAAAAAAACAGGTCGTTGAAATTTAGAAGCAAACAAAAACTGAGATCCCTTAAAACTAGAACTAAAACTAAAAGGGATAAAATGATGAGGACAAATTGGTTTCGAGACGGCGAATAAGAAACGGCGAGGACTAACCGTAAGAGCTGTAAAAGGGTTTGCTGCAACCTCTCATTCGCTTGACAAGTGGATGAAGATTTTATTGCAAGCGGCTGGAGTGATTACCATTTACCAATGGTTTGAGGATCCTCAGAAATTGAAACCTTTTTTCCTAAAGGCGTGAAATTTTACTACAAACCTTCATATGCCATTACCATAATCGGGTGAGTCAAGTCAGAAATTGAAACCGTTTTGAGTCCTGAAATAACTTGTTCTACACTTTAAGGGCTGATTACAGCCCCCTATCCCTTCGTGCAATGAATGGCGAGTTGTATAATAGATGGCGTTATTACCAATCGTTTGAGTTCAGTCAAAAAATTGAAACCTTTTTTCTGAAGCTAACAACACTGCATTTAGTAGGGGTCGTGATAACCCTGAAATACAGCTGATGGGTAAAATGACAAATACGTTAATAATGATCTATGAGCCGAGGTAGTTTAAGTTTTAAGTAGTTCAAATCTGATTTGATTACCGCCGCCACTGATCATTCGGGCATGTTCGGTGTTTTTGGTACTGTATTCTGGCTGCTAAGTTCACATAGGTTAAACCGCAAATTTGCGTACAAGACTTTTTTTCTTCATTTTTATTGTTATTATGTACCTAATTTAAAAGTTACTCAATGAAACACTTGAAAGTTTTCTCATGCAATGTATCTTTTAAATCTCTACGGAAGTTGCGCGACATTAATAGAGGCGTAGTGGGAGTGGAAAAAAACTGCCTACGCCACTGATCTGATCTTCATTTAAGCTTACCTAAATTTTACTACAAAGTTGGAAATAAAACGCTTATTGCACTACTTTCCATTTTCAATCGACAGCCAACCTGTTTTTAATTTAGGTACTTTGATTTTATCAACAACGTGCTTTCAATGACTCACATTTACGCTTCACAACTACAATTAGGCACATAAAATCTATTACGTAATATTTTGTTGTAATAGAAACAATGGGATTTCGAAATTATAAGTAAAATGTGGTGAAAAGGTGGATTTTAATTTACCTCCACTAATTCAAATTAAAAGATTGATGCAGTGGCGCCTCTCGCGATCACGTGACCGACGCTGGCCGCCATTTGTTTCGTGTAAACACAACGACCGGGTTGCGGAACATCTATATCTGACTTTTACAAGGAATTGTATATAAATTTGTGTTTTTACGCGTATTAAAATGTCGGACGTTGACGGAGTAAATACTAATAGTGCAACTAATGAAGAAAATAGTCAGGTAAGTGTTTTAAAATTATATTTTTCTCAAGTAGTTGTTCGAAGTGCTAGCAATGTGCACGTAATACTTCCATACTGTTAGACTGTGACTGTTCGATTTAAACCTCTTTCATGTTATCGTAGTACGCTTTACGACAGTTGGGCACGTCACATTCTAAGTGGACATCCCAGTAAACTAATAAATCCAATTATTACAAAGATTACGCTTTAGAAAGTGTAATAATAATACGCAATAATTGCATTATAAATCGAACATCGCTTTTGCGTATAACCCCTTTTGCTGCTGCAATAAATAACCTGAAAAATGCCAAATTTTCCGGAGGTATCGTATTTTCCGAACTTATCACGTAACGTACGTTTCACAACTTTATGCTCTTTCTCAAATTAAGGTAGATTTAGACGTACGCGGTTGTTTTGTTCGTTTATCTTTTGGAGGGAAAATTTAAAAAGTATAATGTTCTTGTTTTCCAGAATGACAAATCGCCAAAAGGGAAAAAGGGAAAGAAAATAGACAGGGCTCTCGAGGAAAGTGAGGCCATTACAAAGGTAATTACTCGCCTCGTGCCCGTCCGCATGTAACATTTCTCGTTAACAGGGAATCGCCCCAGAAGTCGAAGGTAGACGCGTGACACGGTCTTCGGCGAGAGGCGTTCCGGCGACACCTCCTCCACCCGCTAAAAAAGAGCGTAAGAGCTCATCGGCCAGTAAAGGAAAAGGTTTGTTTCGCTAACTTGCAGTATTCGACAGTATAACTGAAACTTGCAGGACGAGGTCGTCCAAAAACGACGGCAAAGGACGAAACCGATTCTCAAGACGAAAACAAAGACTCGGCGCCCGAAAGTTCAGAGGAACAGCCGAAGATCGACGAACCCACCGATAAAACTGACGGCGAGCCCGTCGAGAATAACACACATGCCGAGAAGGACGAATCTGCCAATAATAATGCAGAAGTGAATGATACGAAGGTACACTGCTGTTTATTTCACGTATTGTTTCTTTTGCAATTGGATATGTAAATATTTTAAAGCATCACTGTCCTTGTTGGAGGTTGATCGTAGTTGTTCTTATATTTCCTACATGCTGTGATGGTCTTTGTCTTATTTCTATGAAGGTCAAGCAGAAATTGAAACTTCCAGCATTATATGGCATAGCAGTCACCCGTAACATAGCAAACTGATTATCTTCTCTCTGAAGAGATTTATTTTGACCTATCAAGCTTAAATTTTTCAATTATTTATTGTTGTCTATTTGTTTGTTCCAATAGACTACCTGAAAAAATCCCTCTGAAAAAAATGCTCACATTACATTTTGTTTTCTCTGTGGCTATATATTTTTCAATTTTGAGTAAACTACTGAACTACTACAATGTAGTAAGGTAGGTACATCAAATCTTTTTTTTTTTTTTAGGTTTTTTCAGTTGTTTTTGTTTTTCATTTGTTCAGCAGTATGTTTATGTAGTTGTCTTACAGGTACTTTTGTAGGAAATTTAAAAAAAGTTATAATTGCACTAAGGTAAATTAATGCTTTGCTATACTATAGTATAATCATTATTAAAAAGTGTACAGTGAAAGATATTGGGTTCAAAAAAATTGGCAGGTTGAAAAATTTTTGAAAACAAACTCGACGGGTAAAATGTTTGAACGCTACAACCCCAAATCTTAATTTAAATTGTTTCTGACCAGAATGGTGGAGGTTAGGGATATCGAAAAAATTACTATTTTAATAATTTTTTAATATCAAGCTTTTTTCGTTTACAAAGAAAAAAAAATTAATTCTTTTTACCCTCTGGTACCAGTGCTGAAATTTTCTGTTTAAGAGTCAACTTCCATTAGAAAACAATAAGATTCAAAATTTGTATTCTTTTAATTTTTCTTGGTGGCAATATTAGAATTAACTTTTTTTTTTAAATACTCTTGCCTAATAAAAAAATCCAAAATTATCTCAAGTGTGACATGAACATTTGAAATTTTCAAAAAGTAATTTTGGATATATTTTCATTTAAAAAAAGGGGGCTGACACTTTGTTGTTAATTCTAAATCAATTCATTTAAACATGATTTTTTGTAACTACATAATTGATCGCATGTGATTTTTTATGACACTTTGACTTAGTGACTACAAGTCCATTACACTACTACTAGAAGGTCAAACATTAATTTCAGGAATATATACTAAAACGGTTGCTTGTGTCATATTTTGACCTTTTTTCAAAGCTCCCCTGAAAACAATGGTTGTCAAGTAAATGCCCTTGTATCATCTTAGTACACAGATCCACCACAGATTCAGAATTTTTTAAAGATTGTTATGGACAAATGCAAATTTTAGGGTAGATTCTTATTGTATTTAAATTCTTCTCTATGCACCCTCTACCACTAAATACATAAGTACGTCAAATTAGGCGGTAGACTTTCGATTCAACCAAAATTTCGTTTGGGAGTTGCGTTCCAAAAATCCCTCCTATTAAAAACAGAAAAATGGGACCATTTTTGGGTATTCCCTTTCCGATCTTGTGTATTTTTTTCCAATTCCTGCCACAAGAGTGCGCTGCTCTAAACAAGAGAGCAGAAAACATCTGATCGCAGATACAAAATTCCATGCCTGGACATGAAAATAACGTCTTAAATTTTTTGAAAATTTAAATTTTATGAAAATTCAAAAAGAAAAAGAACTTTAAAAATCTCGTATAGAAGAAATGCTTATCGGCGAAATCGTTAAGCGTCATTCAGTATTTGAGTGGAGTAGGTGTTATTTTATTCTTGGGCCAATAATAGCCAAATGAATTTTTCTAGTTGTGTCAGTTGTGGAATTAGAAAATTATATGAAAAAAGGTACTCGCAAATTTAAAAGAGGGTCATGTGACATACTTTTTGAATGTGGTGCAATCAGCTGAGAAAATTGTGATGGTGTGAAAGTTAGAAAATGGAACATGGAACCAAACATCCTTTATATAAAAACTGTGTATCGTGATGGATCCTTCATAAAAAAGTGCTCCAAGAAAGATTTTGCCAAAATCAAATATCTTTAATAATAAGAAAGTTATGAATTGTTTGCGCCAGTGATCTTTTTCTTTAAAATTGAGCTCCAGACACCTAGGGCCATTTTTTCCATCTATTAAAATACAGGGTGAATAAAAGTATCCAATTTGGACCACCCTGTACATTTAGAAATAATGTCTATAAATACGCAACCATTGATATTTGCACAATACATTTTTTAACCCACTGTTGTGGCAGTCGCGTGTGTGCGACGTATTTAACACTTGTTTGATCCATTAATTTCCGCTTTCAGGAAACACAAGAGAATGGCGCAAAAGAAGATATCGCCGACGCTCCAATGTCGGAGGATAAAAGCGAAGAATCGTCCGAGGAAGTTAGCAAAGAGAAAAATGATCTTGGAGAGTCTAGTGCGAATGCAATAGAAGAGGACAAACCTGAATAAATGTATGTGTGTGAATAAAACTTGTCTTATTATAGTAGGGTTTTGCCTATATATTTTACAATGTAATTTTACCAACTTCTAATAAATTGACGAAAACATGTCTTCAAGGTATATGGATAAATTATTGATAACAAAAATTGGTATAATTACATTTTATACAAAGTGCAAAAAATGATTGCTGTTAATATTTTTTAAGAAGAGGATAACTTAGTAATTTCAATCATTATTTTTGTTTTGTATATTTTTGTAAGACAAATTTGGTTTTATTAGTTTGTGGATGGCAACCTATTGATAAGTTCTATTTTAGAGTAGTGAAACGTACATATTGGAATATGTACCTGAACTAATTACATTTCGTTTATAACTGATCAACAAAAACTAATCGACCGAGATCAACAAATATCCATTGTTGTCGTTGCAAGCACAAATGTAATTGGTATTTTGTTACTTGCTTCATTCGCATATCCAAATTGGGAAAATAATATTCAACTATCACACAGTCATCATTCTTTCACTTGTAAATTTGACTTTTATAGATTTGTTTTAACTGCACTCATAGACTTAATAAGAATAGTTCATTATTATATTATTATTACCTTTATAGCTATTTTCGTATGGAAGGGCCATTTGTGTTTTTTTTTAAAGTTGAGTATTCGATTAAAATTGTATATTTACTGCAAGTGTATTCGTTTATTCATGAATATAAATATCAACTAATTACGTTGTATCTTATTAACAATGGTATAAAAAGTGGTAGACCTGGGCTAAGTCTGTACATAAACGATATTCCATCAATCAGTATGACCAGATAGTACAAGACATTGTAGAAAATTTATTTCGTAACTTATTGTGAAGAAAGGATTTCTGCGCAATTAGATGTTCACAAAACCCTTCTTTTTAGTTGTGTATTTGAACAAATTTTGTAATATAGGCACAGATATTAATTATGTTGCAAAGTATTAAACACCGAAGTGGTGGTGTTTGGTGCGTGAGCGGGCACATTTTGGTTGGGTTCATTTTCATTGTAAAGATACTCGGACATTTTCATAACCACTGGCATTTTTCTAACTTTATAACAAATTCTACATGTACGTTACGAATAGAATAGTTTAAGATTTGTATAGGTATTTAACTAACTTTAGACAGATTTGAGAATTAAATGTTGGTTGTAATAGCATATTCAGAATTTGTGCGATGTATGACTGAAATTACTTAGACAAAATAAAATAATGAGTAATATAGTTTTTCTTTGTGTAAAAAAACTTCACATTTTTATACCAACTGTTAATGGTATCCGTTTTTGAAATGTTCGTTTGAATAGTAACTTTGAAGAAATTGAAATCTATTCTACTGCTTGTTCAGAGTAGCGCACAATTTCTTGTAAATCCTTTTCTTTTGTACCGAAACAGCTTATAAATTATGTAAAATTTAAGCGTAATTTTCTATTGGTAATGTATTGCAGTCTTATTCTGTAATAAAAAGGTAAAATTTTTCTTTGTTTTTGTTTTGAACCCTCACATCTTGGGTTAGCAAAATTGTCGCAAACGTACTCTGGTTGTGAATATTGTTCCGCCTACACCCATTTAGGGCAACATTGAGTTTAAAAATAATTATATGTATATAATCAATGATTGGGGTGTTACTCCACACAACCCTGTATATTGCAAACTCGAAAAGCGGTTAAATAATGTACAAGAAATAGTTGCATAAGTGGAATACTATTTCAAAGAAAAAACCTAACAGTTTTTAGAGAGATCAAGATCAGATTGCATATAACATTGAAGGGTGAAAACTTCATAGGCGATTTGCGGGTGAATAGGACGTTGGAAGTGGGTACCGATAAAGGGAATGTGATAGCCTCCAACACCATGTTACTGATAGTGGTGTCAAAATATAGAGAGCAATTTTGGTTTTGGTTAAAGTCTAAAGTCACTAAAATCTAAATATTCTGTAGTATTCACTATTCAGTGAGTGATCAGTGTTGGCAGTCAACGATTTGACTATTCGGCATCGATCGGCAATTCGCTACATTGATGCCCAAAATAACAAATAGGTATCAGGTACTTAGTACTGCTACTGAGGTGAGGTACCTGCGTCCTGCCTTTCACGAAATGACGAAAATAAGAATGTTAAATTTTAAAAACAGGAATTTTTTTGCCCATAACTTTTGATTGAGACGTCTAATCGAAAAAGTACGAATCGTTTTGGATTCTACGCACCCAAATGAAAAAGTTTTTTCCCGAGAAATTTTGGTGCAGTCGATTTTTGGAAAAAAAGGAAAGTAAATACTGCCTTTTTTTTGCCCCGTAAAAAAATTGTGTCAGATCGACCGGAAAAAAATATTTTCTTATAGAATGTGGCCGGTAGAATCCATAATTTCAAACAGTTCCAAGATCGGGCTACTAGATCAAAAGTTCCAGCCCTTTGAATTTTTTGTCGAAATTGGTTTTTTGCCCATAAATATACCTATTATTCAAAGTTTTCGTTGACTAATTAAAGCAAAAGCAATAAAGGGACCTGTCAGCAGTAAGAAATAAAATACCGTTCTAATCTAATCTTTTTCGCCTCTGCAACCCAATTTCTATTTCTCCCCCCCCCCCTCTTCTAGTACGCACTGGGTGACTGTATGTGCCACGAACCCAGAATAAATTTCTGCGTACGCCACTGGACCAACTAATAGGGGTAATAATGATCCAAACATTCGTACTATATTTCTAATAAGGGAAAATAGAGAATATACAGCAAATGTACAGAGTTTGTTCTTAGCAATATAACACAAACATGAAATAATTTTTCTTAATATATATTATTGTTACACAGATCCTTCATTCCCTAAGGCTCCACTTTTAGCCTGGAGCATTCTTTTCTTTGTGATATTTCGCAATCGGCATAACAAAGCTAAAGTATTTTTTCTTTTGTGGTACAGATCAGATAAAGTTCTATGCTCATCATCTGTCAGCAAAGCTCTACCATCAAAGTCTAAAAATGAACAAAAAGTAAGTCATTTAAATAGGCCATTGACTGTACCTATCAGTATGTCAGTTTTATTCTCAAAAATAAACTTTATTGGATACGGAGACACCACTTTATCGATAATAAAGGTCATTATAAGGTGATATCGATTTGGATCTTCCACATCCTCCAAACTGATAGTATACTGAAAGTTTTGGGTAAAGTGATGCAAAGCCTTCTGAAAACCTTTCAATTTAGTTTGATTATTAATATGCGCAGCCTCTTCCTCTAAAATACAGAATTACTAGCTGCATTAGTAAAATTTTCGCTATGTATTTACCTAATTTCAATTTCTCCAAAGCTTCCTTTTTGTGTTGTAATTGTTGCGTTAAATTACGGATGTTCTCTTCTTTCACCTGAATTTGGTTGAGAAGGCCACATATCTCCTCGTCCAGTTCTTGACATTCGTTATCAATTTTACTGCTTTCTTTCACATTGACGGCAGCTGTACGCCCGTTCTCCAAATCCGAAGAAGTTAGTCCTGAAACTTAAGGTATAAACGGGAGATGAGTAAACGTGTAACCAACCTATTTTGTCATTAACAGCATCGATGAATTGCTCCTTGTAGTCTTGAATAGCATTTAGATTGTGTTCCAAAACTGCTACGTGATTATGAATCTCGTCTACGTTCTCCAAAAAATGATCTATGACAAATGGTTAAATTTGCTGAACTCGGCAACAAACCTTACCTGACATATTAACATGAATGATAAGGGTCGTTTAAAAGGGCAAATAATTCTGAAGACAAACAAATTCAAATTAACACAAAAACTAACCTCAAACAAAAACGGTTAATATACTACAGAATACAAATAATTGTACAGGGTTTGTAAAAAGTAAAGTTTTATCATTGTACATTGTTTTATTTTAAATAATAACTAACGTTTTAAGTGTCCTCTTCTGCATACATGTGTAAATAACTGCACCCGAGTTTTTCTTTTTGTTTCTCTCCATAGGTGTATTTTTTTGAGATAATTAACTCAATTTCCTCATTCTCTTCGCATTATTTGGTCTTGTGAGTCTGGATTCTGGCATATTGTCGCCTTCAAAATAGTTCCCTTGAGAAGCCACACAGCGTTAGAGAGGGCATATAATTGGCAAAATAACTGCTAAATCACACTTTATACAACAAATATCTCTACAGATAACCTACTATTCTCTGTAAACAAAGATAAATAATCAACAACTTTTTACATATAACGGCAAGCAAGTGTAATATTACATAAATTATGGAGATTCTACATCTACTCCATAAGGGCCTTGACGCAACGTAAACCGACGAACAAATTGATGAAACATTCACCTTTTATAGAAAACTATATTTATTTTTCATGTGCTAGTTCGATGATATTTGCTCTGTTTGATCATTAAAAAAATATTGATACATGTAGTATATTTTGTAAATCTATGCATACAAACGTAATGGTTTAAAAAAATAATCGACCGTTTTAATTCCCTATATATGCACTATTCGTAAAACCGAAGTAACAATGGACCTTTACAAGTAAATTCGTAGAGGTGAGTGACCTAGTCATTTTTGTTATTGTTAGGTAATTAAGAGTTAAAAAAATGGTTTCTGGTACAGCGCCTTCCCCTTATATTTATTAATCTATTTTTGAAAGGGTATCTATGTAATACGGTAAATAATAAGAGTTTGTGTTGCCTTAGTTTGTATAATGATACGACTGTAAAAATAAATTTACACGTTTAAATGCTAGTTTTCAGACGAAACGCATAGTTTAGTTTCTTTGAAAGTTTGCTACTAACTATGAAAACGTTCTGGGTACTTTTGGCAGTGGCTTTTGCCACACTTTTGGAGATCGAATCAGCGGCACCGAGATGCGTTTGCACATGTACTCACAAAGTGTGTACTACCATGATTCATCCAGCGTAAGTTGATGCGCTGTTACTCAATTTTTAATACTTATTCATTTTTAGTGCGACGTGTTTAAATTTTGCTACGCCCTGTTGCACTGGATATGTACCTGACGGTGACTGGTCACATTGTATTTTAACTTAGTCAGTGCCATTAACTTTTACCTTCGCCAAAGCAATTCCTTCCGGTTAGATTTAACAAAAAAGTGAACTGACCCTATACCTATGGGTTGTAAATACCCTCAATAGTGTACAATTACAATAGAAGCATTAAATATTTTTGTTTCTACTATTCTTACTTATTGTTTTTTTTTGTGATAATCTAGTGAGTAAATACCATAGGAAGAAACAAGAAAGAACACAAAGCGATGAAATACACAAATATTGGTCGGTACAATGTGATACTATAAAAATAATCACTGTACAAAGATCAAGATGGCGTAGCCAGTTAGCTGCAAATGATTAGCACAGCAGTTTCACCCAAAATCCCTTTCTTCTGCGACTGTTCATGAACTCTCATAAATGGTCCATACTTACTTTTAATTTAATTGCAATTTTGCCCTTACCAACATGTAATATTTATCACATTATTCCACTACAGACCTTTGAGTGACAGTACGATTATCAATCAAACTATTTGTAATAGAGCGCGCTTGGTTGCCTAACCATTAACTCTCATTCAACGACGCAATGAACTATTTCCATAAGTATCTATCTTTGGACCTTTGACTATCTCACTATGTCACTTTAGATGAGAAGTTTACAGAAAGTGAAACACGTCCGTAAGCAGTTTATGACAATGTAATAAAATCAGAATTATTATTAAAAATGTTTAATTTACATATACTCTCGCATATACTATAGTAATTTGAAGACCCTTCTACTTTTTGAAACTAAAGCTTTTCCTAGAAGCTATTGTAGGAAGGTCCTAACGATTAACATGTAATGCTCAACAGTGTAGCCGAAATATTGCATATACAGTACATTCTATTAAAGCAAATAGAATAATTGTAGTTTCCATAGCTTCTTGGTGCCTTGATGATAATTAATACACACTACAGATTAATTTTTTTTTCATATGATCTACCAACGGTAGCTGTAACGTCTTGACAGTTTTGCACATGAATTTAGACATGCTGAAAGGGTAAATTTACAAAAAAAAACAAAAAAATTTACAAATCACAGCCCAAATAAAGCAGATCCAAAACAAAAGACTATATTCAGGAATCAGTAGCGATTTTTAAAATATCAAACCCATTATTCCATTTAAATACAGAGGCCTTCATGTCGTATATTTGATTTTTATAAGGTTGCCCTTTCATTATATTACTCACTATACGAGCACAATGAAAGCCTTGTCTGCAGAAGGCGAGGTCTCCAATATTTAAATGTAACATGGGACATACATCATTCGAACCGTCACCTACAAACATAACATTTTCATAAACAACTCCTGCCAATCTCCGACTCTTGATAAAATCATCTAGAATCTGGCCTTTACAGAGGTTTATGGTACTCAATCGACATGTGTCTTGGACATGATACATTTTTATTGTTAGCAGACCATTGCGGAATTCTGCAGGATTTGTGAAAACTTCCTTGACACAATTTAATAAATTGTACTTCCGCAACCATGTGTTTATAAAAAATGAATTCGCATCACTAATTATTATAATATCGTAATCGAGTTTGTCCAATTTTTGTATTAGCTCAACCATTCCGTCGATAGGTGGAATCTCGTGAATTGTCTTCGTAATCAAAGCTTCGTCTAGATTGTTGCTATACAGCAATTCGAAAATTCCTTGCATGTACTGCGTCCATCCGCTTGTGTCGTACTTGTGGCAAGTTTCATATTTGGCAACCACGTCCGATGACAGAAGGTTTCTTACAACAATATCTGAATTTTCACTGCAAATTGTACTGTCAAAGTCAAAGGCAGCTAAACGTTTACAATGGGTCATCTGAAGAGATAAAGAAAGATAAGAAAACAAAGAAATGCCGAATTAGCTTACCGTTATTAAATTTGTATATGATTTTTTGGAAATGCAAGTGCTCACTTTTGATTTTAATAATATATGGATAAATAACATCAAAGGGAATTTAGAAAAACAATGCCATATCTTAGGTTAACTTAACACTTAACCAACACAAAAACAATAAACAAACGAAAAACGCAAACATAACAAGCAGCATTGCCAACAAAAACCTGTAGAAAACAAAAAAATACCTACTCGTAAGACAATCTACAGTGTGTCAATTTAAAAAGTGGCCAGCATTAAGAAATGCCCAGAACCGTTTCACGGAGAAATGACAAAAACGGTACTTCAACAGACCACAGCTCTCTCACCTTTTAAACCCTCTTTAAAAATTGGAAATTCCCCAAAAACACAAAGTGCTTTTAATTATAGGGTGTAATTGTGGAAAATATCCAAAAAGTTGACGACTTGGCGTTAACAAGCAGTATAGATTAAATTCTCGTTGTATACTATTATATCAGTATGACATACAATATGGAAGTTGCCATTTAAAAATGTTTGTGGCGATTTATGGGGTGCTAGTGGTGCATATACTTTTTTCAAATTTACACACTGTATAAGCATACAAGTAGACCACTAATTCGGTCCAGAAAATTTCAACTCAAAATTGGCCTTCAAAAGTTTGCTACCTATAAGCATACAAGTAGACCACTAATTCGGTCCAGGTAAATTTCAACTCAAAATTGGCCTTCAAAAGTTTGCTACTATCATATTTAACAATGTTTGTTGTGATTTATGGGGTGCTAGTGGTGCATATACTTTTTTAAAATTTACACACTGTATATAAGCATACAAGTAGACCACTATAATTCGGTCCAGGAAATTTCAACTCAAAATTGGCCTTCAAAAATTTGCTACCAAGTAAATTCGCACCATCAGGTACATTTGCCTTTGAAAGGATATGGGTTCCAACCCCAAGAGAGTTCTTGGAGAAACTTGTTCCAAAGGAAAATGTGCGTGCAATTAAGAAGTCGTGCTTGGAATAACCAACAAAAAGTATATAGTCTAGGTATCCTTAACGATTCCGACGATTTTTGTTTGAAATTGAAGACAGTACATGATTTTTCGGTCTAGGACATTAGGGCGCAAGGAGCATCGGGAGACGTTCACTCTAGCGCAGGACAATAGGGCGGCACGGCAAACGGGCGCGAAGAGAAGATGGTACGTACCATTTAGGCGCGGGAACGATTGGGCGGGGGACAAAAGGGCGCGCACCATCTGACGCGAGCTGCTTTGAGTATGTTATATATTGAAAGTTTATTAAAAAGCAAATAAAAAGTTTCAAAAAAATTGATTTGTAAACGCTAGAGCAGTTTTTGTAGAAAATCGTTTTTTCTCCAGAGGAATGTTGCATGGACATTTTTACGTAAATTTTTACGCAAATAATGTAGTAAACATAATTTAAAAAACCATAAGAGCCCCTTCGCACGACGCGTTTTTGAAGCGCTGCAGAGTGACGCGAGGGAGTAGCAAGGTAAGGGATTCTATGGCGCGTCTTTGCAGTGCTTCTATGTCGCGGGCACAACATGCTAAATCGCTCAGCGACGCTCCCAAGTGGCGTGCGACGCATTTGGCCGGGCGCCGGCAGATGACATCCGCAAAACTGAAATAAAAGTAGCTGTCACTTCCAGAGTGCATCAAAATGGACGCTCTCCTCGAACTAGACGCCATTGTTTAAGAGAACGGCGGCCTCACTTGGTTCGTAATATTAATATCTAGCTAGAGTATCTAGAGCTGAACAATAAAGCCAGGAGAATTTGTTTTCTCTTTTCTATTTCAAAATATGGTACCCTAACAGCTCTCGACGTTACCCCTAAAAAACTGCTAAGTATTTCAAAAAATTTTAATAAACCCCGGGGTTATTCACCTTTCACAGGGATATTTGACCTTTCTGCATCTTCACTCAGAAATCAAATAAAGTGGAACTGCATTTTCGGACCCAACGGAAAAGATGTCCAGCCTTATGTGGCCGCTTCTGGAAAGTCTTACTCTCTCTTTGACTTCAAACAGGTCTTGGGCTGGATCGCGACCTTCAGGAGACTCTGATAAACATATACAATATAAGTCTGTTTTCCATGAAAACTGACTTTCTAATAATGTAAAGGTATTGGTAATTTAAAAAAAGGGCCCTAAGACCGGAAATTTAACTTGGAATTAATTTGTGGCGCTTGCTAAACTATAATTAAAAATAACATGTTTACCTTTGTGATAAATTTTTTTTAGAATAATACATACAAAACTCACTGATGGGTTCATATACCTGTAGTCCTGTAGGTTCTACTACTATATTATATAGTATAAAAATACTTTTGAAATTAGTTCTCCAATACAGGGGTTGTAATTTTTGTAGTGCACCACTTATTCCTGTTTCTTAGACAGCTTTAACAACTGCTGACATTTCAATCAGCTTGATATACACGTGGCTTGACTTGACTGCCAATTTTCACCTGGCCTCATTCTAAGTTGTGTCAATCAAGGCAAGTGGCTTGGAAATCAAGTCAAGTAGTGAACGTGAATCCCTAATTAAAATAAACAGAATTACTTAATTATCTTTTAAATGTTGTATTTAATATTTAATTACAATTATAAATTTTACATTGGCACCTAAGTCGTTAGCAGCCACCACTCTAGCAAAATGGATATAACTGAATGTACACTTTAATAAAGTTTACAAACACTCTGTAAAAAAGCATTAGCACAACCATGTTCTTCTACAGTCATC